AGGCTGCTCACTCCGGTCCCAGCCCCGGGAGACTCCCGCTGCAGCATCCAGCCCAGCGAAACACAGAGGAGGCGGGACTGGGGGAGCAGGTGGGGACACGGGGGGGGTGGAAGGAGCAGGTCGGCAGGGATGTGGAAGGACCAGGGAAGTCGCCAGAGAGCACTAAGCCCAAGGGGAGTGGGAAGCTGCGGCGGCTCCCTGGGGAAACATCTGCTCGGCGCGCACGAGGACGCGGGTTCGATCCTCAGCCTCTCCAGTTCTTCGAATAAATAAAGATAATAGCAGCAGCCGTCCGGAGGGGCTGTGAAAAGACCCCCGGGGGGACAAAGCTGACAGGCAGCTTCGTGTGGCGCCAACAGACAGACCCAAGCACGCCCCGGGGCTACCAGCCAAGAGCCCTCCCGCCGCCGCCGCCGCCGCCCCGCACTTACTATCCGTCGCCATCCTGGCTCTGCAGCGCGGCGCCCGCGCCTCTTCCGCGGCCTGCTGCTCGCTCCCGTCCTCCTCAGCAGCAGCAGCCTTCGCCCATTCCCGCGTCCGGCGCTCTCCGAGCCGGGCAGCCGCCGGCCGAGCAGACACCTGGAGAGGCTTGACGCCTGCAGGCGCGCTCTCGCCGGGACGCGGCACCGGGGCGCGCGCCCGAGAGGGGGGAGAGGAGGCTCCGGGGGGGCGCGGCAGGCGGCCCTGCTCTCGGGGGCGCGCGCCTGCTCCGGACGCGCCCCCGCCAGGTGTCCGCGGAGGAGGCCTTTCTCGGAACGTGTAAACGCGGGGCCGCTTCTCGAGGCGTCTGCTGGGCGCCAGGAGGGGGGTGGGACTGGTTGGCTCCCCCTGAACCTGCCCACTGAGTCCCCTGCCCAGGCTGCCTCCTAGGGCTGGGAAACACCCGGAGAGCAGTGTTCCCTCTAAGCTGAGTTAGTGTGAGCTAGCTCACAGTTTTTTAGCCTCCGGCTCACACATTTTTGTCTCAGCTCAGGAAGGATGGGGCTCCAGAGCAAACTAATTTATGCGGCAGCCAAACTGCTCGCTCACAACTTTAATGCCAGTAACTCACACAGTAGGATTTTTGCTCACAAGACTCCACAGCTTCGAGGGAACATTGCTGGAGAGTAGAGTTGCCAGCCTCCAGGTGGGGCCTGGGGATCTCCCGCTTTTACGACTGGTCTCCGGCTGACAGAGATCGGCTCCCCTGGAGAAAAGGGCTGCCCTGAAGGGTGGGCCACATAATCACGGAGACGTCTTCGGACAGTGCTGGCTCTTCGGCTTGGAAACGGAGATGAGCACCGCAACCCTAGAGTCGGACTCGACTGGCTTTCGAACAAGGGAAACCTTTACCTAAGGTGCTACTGGATTCTTGCTCTTTTTCTACTGCTGCAGATAGACTAACACCACGACCGGTCTTGCAGTACAACAGTTGGATTGGAGTCCAGTAGCAACCTAGAGACCAATGAGAGTTTCCAGGTGTAAACGTTCAGGAGCCAAAGCTCTCTGCGTTAGACACAAGCACAAATCGAGATCTTTGAGTCCTTTGACTCTCGAAAGTGTATACCCTGAAACTCTCCTTCGTCTCTAAGGTGCTACTGGATTCGAATCTACTTGTGCCTTTACTGAAGCATGATGTACCTGCTCCCTACCAAAAAACATAAGTCCAGGAAACAAATGTAGAAGCAGCGGAAACCCACCCTGACCCAGATGAGGCTAGCCCGGTCTCATCAGATCTCGGAAGCTAAGCAGGGTCGGCCCTGGTCCGTACTTGGATGGGAGACCACCACGGAAGCCCAGGGTTGCTACACAGAGGAAGGCAACGGTAAAACCACCTCTGAACGTGGTGTTTGGTGTAGTGGTTAAGTGCGCGGACTCTAATCTGGGAGAACCGGGTTCGATTCCCCACTCCTCCACTTGCACCTGGCTGGATGACCTTGGGCAAGCCAAAGTTCTGTCAGAGCTGTTCTTGGAAAAGAGCAGTTTCTGTCAGAGCTCTCTCAGCCCCACCTACCTCACAGGGTGCCTGTTGTGGGGAGGGGAAGAAGAAGAAGAAGAAGAAGAGATTGGATTTATACCCCGCCCTTCACTTGGAGTCTCAGAGCAGCTTACAAACTCCTCTCCCTTCCCCTCCCCACAACAGACACCCTGTGAGGTGAGTGGGGCTGAGAGAACTCTGGCACAAACTGCTCTTTTTCAAGGACAGCTGTGCCAGAGCTTGTGACTGACCCAAGGCCACATCAGCAGGTGCAAGTGGAGGAGTGGGGAATCAAACCAGGTTCTCCCAGATTAGAGTCCACACACTTAACCACTACACCAAACTGGCTCTCTACACCAAACTGGGAAGGGAAGGGAAAGGAGATTGTAATCCGCTCTGAGACTCCTTTGGGTTGTGAAGGGTGGGGTATAAATCCAATCTCCTCTTCTTCTACAGCCAGTTGGTGTAGTGGTCAGGAGTGCAGGGACTCTAATCTGGGAGAACTGGGTTTGATTCTCCACTTCTCCATGTGCAGCCTTGAAAACCCCTCGGGGTCACCATAAGTCAGCTCTGCCTTGATAGCACTTTCCATCACTCAACCAAAAATTATCTACCCTTTCTCCTCTAGGCGCTGTGGTCCAGAGGCAGAGCCTCTGCTTAGCCTGCAGGTCCCAGGTTCAATCCCTGGGATCCAGTGTTCCCTCTAAGCTGAGTTAGTGTGAGCTAAAGGTAAAGGTCTCCCTTGCTCGAAAGCCAGTCGAGTCCGACTCTAGGGTTGCGGTGCTCGTCTCCGTTTCCAAGCCGAAGAGCCAGCGCTGTCCGAAGACGTTTCCGTGGCCATGTGGCCGGCATGACTAAACACCAAGGCGCACGGAACGCTGGTACCTTCCCACCGAAGTGGTACCTATTTATCTACTTGCAATGTCTTGCTTTCGAACTGCTAGGTTGGCAGGAGCTAGTATGAGCTAGCTCAGTTTTTTAGCCTCCGGCTCACACAGTTTTGTCTCCGCTCAGGAAGGAGGGCTCCAGAACAAACTCATTTATGCAGTGGCCAAATCCCTCACTCACAGCTTTAATGCTGGAAGCTCACGAAGTAGAATTCTTTGCTCACAAGTTTCCACAGCTTAGAAGGAGCATTGCTGGGATCTCCAGTTAAAACGACAAAGCGGTAGGTGATGCGAAAAACCTCTGCTTAAGACCCTGGAGACCTGCTGCCAGTCTGACCCTGATGGACCGACGGTCTGAATCAATTTTCCTTCTATGAAAATTTTGTTTGTTAAATTCTTGTCTGTCTTAGATTGAGAATTGAATATATGGATTTTGTTCCGTTGCCTCTTTGAGAAAGCGGAGAAGAAACGGAATTAAAGGTCAGCAGGTCCATCAAAGGCTGCATTTGAACATCCATAAATCACCCACAATTACTGCATTTGAAGGAACAAAGGACATAAGACATACGCAGTGTTCCCTCTAAGCTGAGTTAGTGTGAGCTACCTCCGTTTTTTAGCCTCCGGCTCACAAATTTTTGTCTTAGCTCAGGAAGGAGGGCTCCAGAGCAAACTAATTTAGGCAGCAGCCAAATCGCTCGCTCACAACTTTTGATGCCAGTAGCTCACAGAGTAGAATTTTTTGCTCACAAGATCCCACAGCTTAGAGGGAGCATTGGACATAAGACCAAGCACTTTAATCTTGGAAAGAATATTTAAAGGCACTTTCATTCACCAGATGGATAGTTAAGACTGGACTATTGAAAATGATAATGAATTATTTACCGTGACTAAGATATGTAGAGATATATGCACTATAATAAGAAAATATTGAAGTATTGAAATTGTCATAGTTATAATTTCACGGTTTTTGTATTTTTTTTATTATACCTGATTCAGAATAAGGTAGCTTCATGTGTATGCTGACGTGTGATGGATATCCAAAACCAGCAAGCTGGAGTGGAAAAGGAGATTTACCTAGAAGCAGGGGTCATTTCCTGCAGGAGCACACAGGAGTGGAGCTCTGGCAGTAAGGAGCCCAGGGGGCGGGCACATGCAACAAGCCCCGCCCCCTGCTCTCAGCAGTTCTCAATTGGGCCACGAGGAGCAAGAAGCAGCCAGGTAAGTTGCAGAGCTCCCCCCCCCCCGGCCCGCCTTCAGGTACAAGCTCTCCCTCCTCTGTGAGGGCAGTTCTGCGGGTCCCCCCCCATCCCATAGCTAGCAATCCAAAACAGTCCAGTGGCACGTTTAAGACCAAGTTTTATTCAGGTACACGCTCTGCACATCCCCCCCCCCCATCCCATAGCTAGCAATCCAAAACAGTCCAGTGGAGCCTGAGCGGTGGGTGTTGCCTTCTGTCACACTTCCCGTGATGTCAGGGTGTGTGTGGCATATGCAAATAAGTTATGCTAATGAGTTGTGCGAATGAGCTCCTGCACCTCT